ACACTCACGAAAACCCACATAATATATACACACACGCATACATTCCGTGATACCCAAACTCTACGGTCTCGTGCATACTTAGCTTGATGGTAGAGAACAAAACAATGACCGACTCTTGCGGCGTAATGGTTAACTTATTTGCTAACAGACCGACAATGAGTTCACATCCAAATGTGGGAAGTCAATTGTATCAAATATCGCAGTTTTTCCCTTGGGACGCTAAATCACATTAAACCCATCTTGACTTTCTAAAGGTTGTTTTTTTCCATTGCTTTTCACACCAATGAAACGATAAAAATTGTTAAATTCAGTGGATTATGTAATTTAGTCATACAATTTCATTTGATAAATTGTGGCTAATTTGGCACCTAAGACGCTTTTCTTTCAGGAGAGAAAAAGAGGAGCTAAAAAGCTCGTAAAGGCTCTCTCGCAACACACAAAACATTAAATATGGAGTAGGAATCCATGAATCTAAACATTCATTAATGATAGAGGCAATCATACCAAGAGTTTCTAAAAAAAACCCACATATAATACAATATCAAGATTGTCTGTGAGAGTCAAAAAGATCCTATTAAATAACAAGAGAGTTGACTCCTCAGCTACCTGAGAATTTGCGTGGATTTGGTGAACAGCTGACTATGGAAGTACAGGACAATACTGGTTCATATCAGGGTAATAATATACTTACTACGCTCACATTGCAGTTTCTTGCAACGAAAATTTTACGGCTGAATTTAATTTTTAATTTAGGATAAAGGTGGCAACAAGTGAAGCAGTTATGGGCCTTATAGAATTATGTTTAACATTGTTAAATTTCGATTTATCGACGCCACTGGTCACTGCTCTTTCACGTCGGTACAGTCACAAGAATGTAACGGGGGACTTCAGCGTGTTCATTCCATTCAACGGTAGTTTCTTAATCGGGATGCCCATTGGGGAATCGGGTCGGGTCGGGTCGGGTCGGTCGGTTTGCTAGCAAGATTGAGAGCGCGGCTATAGTAGCACAAGCCGACCAAGCCTGACTCATCGCCCCAAAAACAAATGCGTCTGTTTTCAGGCGACGAGTTGGGCGAGCGACCCGACCCGACCCGATCCCATCAGCAATGGGTATCCGGTATTCGGTTTCCAGACTTTGCACCCGTCAGGTACATAGATCTAATCTATTCTTAATCAAGCTGCGCGACTTTTTGGAGACTTGTGAGCACAAAGTAACTGCAGTCATGTGGTACACATAAGTTAATAAGTTACTGATACACTTAAGTAGGCCTATTTTGAGACAAAGGAACTAAAGACCAACCACGGCAAATTCTTGGGGGGGTTCATCAGGGGGAACTAAGGAGCGATGGTTTTTCGATGTTCAATTAACATTAACTGACATCGAGAGGCCATTTTACCGTAGTTGATAAGAACTTAGTAGAGCAAAAAGCTGATTGCAGTACAGAATTACAATAATAAAATTGTTATAAAACTGAAATAATGTTACTGTTGTTTTCGCAAAACGAAAGAAAGCTTCAAAATAGCTGCAGAGGCGCCACTAGAGAAGTTTTGCCCGGTTGAACGTGCTTTTTACGGAGTAATCCATGTTGTCGTATAGGACCTGTGGGAATGGATTCAAACCAGGGCCAAAAGGTCGGAAGTATAGCTTGATACGACTTAAGCTATTTGTGCGCCCAAGGCATAATTTTTTGTTTCGAATTTGCTACATCTTGAGCATTTTAAACTTCATTTTGTTTCATTTCACCTCGTCGACCCAATTTAGATCATTTAGGAGGCGGGCTTCCTGCAAGGACTGTCAGGGCCAACCCGGTTTGAGAGGGATGCAATATCTCAGTAAAAAGACTGAATTACTGTATAATAATTCTCCCCACTTGGGAATCGAACTTAGGTCTCTTGCGTGCGACGGTTAAGCGCCACAGACACTGGTCCTTAAAAAAGATACCTAGGAATGGGGTCGGTGGCGTGGAATGAACTGTTTCGAGTCGAACTCCATACTTCGAACAGTTTGTTTTATATACCTATGTTTTTAAAAAAGAAAATAATAATCATCCACCATATGCAGCTGTCTGAGAGCGAGAACTAGAATGAACTAGTAATCTCTTATTCTCATTCCCATCTATTGAACACTTTGCATTCTTACCAACAGTTCTAGTGTAGCTGTCATCCCAAACATACCGTTTCTTAGAACTTAGAACATGTTACTCGTTTTATTAATATGTCACTCACCACTGGAATCGTACCTGATCTTTTCAAACAAGCCATTGTAAAACTTTTACTTAAAAAACAAGGTCTTGATGAAAACGACATGAGAAATTTTAGGCCAGTTTCCAATCTTAACTTTTTATCAAAAATCCTGGAGAAAATCGTTTTGTGTCAAGTTCAACAGCATCTAAAGGCCAATGACATGGAAGAACCTTTTCAATCTGCTTATAAAAGGCACCACAGTAGGGAAACTGCTCTTTTAAAGGTATCATCAGATGTTTTAAATGAAATCGATAATTAAAAAGTCTGTGTTTTGGTTCTGCTTGATTTGTCAGCGGCGTTCGATACCATCGACCATGAAATTTTACTAGAGAGACTGGAAAAGTCATTTTTACTATCAGGTACTGTTCTAATCTGGTTTAAATCATATCTAGACAATAGATTTATGTCAGTGGGCAATGATATGTCAGTTAGGTTACCTCTAAAGTACGGAGTTCCTCAGGGTTCGGTCCTTGGTCCTGTCATCTTTACAATGTACACGCAAAGTCTGTCATCAATAATTTCTTTATATGCCCTCAATTACCATCTTTATGCAGACGATACACAGCTGTATGGATTCACTACAACTGACAATGTACACAATCTCATAGATAGAATCGCCAGACGTATCAATGAAATAAGAAAATGGATGTTCAAGAACAAATTAAAATTAAAGGAGGATAAGACCGAAATATTATTTCTTCGTAGCAGCGCATGCAATGAAATCGACAATATCAGAATAAACATCAATGGCCACGAAATATCAGCCCAAACTAAAATAAAAAATTTAGGTGTGGTGCTAGATCAAGGTATGTCAATGAAATACCATGTATCCAATCTTTGTAAAAATCTATATCTCCAGCTGAAGAAAATAGGGAGCATTAGAAAATATATATCTGTTGGTGTCACCAAACTTTAATAATATCACTTATATTGTCAAGGATTGATTATTGCAATTCCTTACTGGCTGGTAGACCTGATGAACAGTTACAACAACTACAAAGAGTACAAAATATTGCTGTCAAAATAATTACAAAAAAACTAAAGCATGATCATGTGATTCCTATTTTAAAAGCATTACACTGGCTCCCAGTGAAAGAGCGTATCATATATAAAATCTGTTTAACTTGCTAAAAGTGCTTAAATGATTTATCACCGGACTATCTAAAACAGCTTTTAACACCCTATGTGCCTCTTAGAACGCTCAGATCATCAAGTGACAAAACAGCCCGTGTGAAGCCTAAAATAAATTACAAATCATATGGCCAACGCTCTTTTTCATATTTTGCCCCACTTGTTTGGAATAGGCTTCCAAAAACTGTCAGAGAGGCAGAAAATCTAGAAATGTTTAAGAAGAAACTAAAAGCATTTCTATTTTCATCATATTTCGATTAGACAGAAGGCATCCAAGCTGTAGATCGTTGTGAGTTTATATGTGCGTATGTGCATATGTACGTATGTGTGTATGTGTGTACGTATGTGTGTGTGGTGCGTGCGTGAGTGAATATGTGTTTGCACGAGTATGTAACACTATGTACCTTTAAAATTGATTTGTAAATCCATAATATGCATCATGTTAAGCGCATAGAGCATTGCATAAGTGGATATGCGCTATATAAATGCAATCCATTATTATTATTACATGTTTGTTCAAAAAGATATTTTAACGTTATTCACAATTGCTATTTACAGTAGCAGTTACCTAATCATAAACCAGCTTACAACGTCTATACGAATAAAATAGGCGTTTTGCGAACGTTAGAAAATAAACCACAGCAGCGGACTGGAACCTTAAAACTGATTTTCCACACCAATGAACATTATTTTATAAGACTGACCCTGCCCCCTACTAAAAAAATCCAAATGAAACGCCAAGAAATAGATCTAAGCTTTAAAAAACATTAAATCAAGGCAAGAAGTAGTCAGTTCATTTTTCTATCAATAAAGAACTAATTCACGGACAGTTTTTGTTAATTTTTGTGTATATGAATGGGAAGACAGAAAAGTGTCTAGAAATAAATGGCAATTGTATACTATAAAGCAGTCTGGTCTACAACAATACTAGCCTGCTATGGTGACGAAGATTTCGTGAAAAGAGGTTGAATCTGACGAAAACAATCAGTGTTTATGTGTATTTATGTTACAGCTTTGTCGCCAAATGGTACATCAAACTCTGTTTTTTCTTAGGAATAGAAATGTAAGTCAAATAGCAGTTGAGTGTCTGTCATACTGTAGAGTCAGGACACTAGGTGGGTAATTCGCTTTTTTTAAAAACCCTTCCACATTATTTATTCAATCACTCGCTCATTTAATCATTCATTCACTCACCCAAATTAAACCCAAATCATTCACTCATTCAGTCTCTCTATCATTAACTCAGCTAATCGTCCTAACATTTTCTCAGTCGTCCACACTCACACTCTTATACTCACA